ACAGCCCGCACACACCTCTTCAGCCCAGAGCGGTGTACGCCAGCGCGGATACGGCGAGCACCAGCGGGGCAAACACCCACGCAGAGCTGCTGAGGCTGCCGTCGATTTCGCGAAGACGTGACGGTGCGCGGGTGGTCGACACAGCTGGCGCCTCAGTAGTCGTAGTACCTGGTGCCTGTGTTGTTGTGGTCGTCGTGGTCGTCGTAGTTGGTGCATTTGTTGTAGTGGTGGTCGTCGTGGTTGGTGCCTGTGTTGTGGTCGTCGTAGTCGGTGGTTTTGTTGTGGTCGTCGTCGTGGTCTTATTCGAAGACCCTTCAGGCCCACTCGCTGCCTCTGATGCGCACACGGACGGGCAGCAGCACAGGGCAAGCACAAACAGGGCGCACAGCAGACGGCACGTCATCATCGTGAGTGTGGTCGTTCAGTGGTGTGGAGCTGATCTGCACGGTGAGGGACATGGAGAGCAACAGGGGAGACGAGAGGTGCGGCAGACACACACAGAGGGCACATCACATGAGGAGAGGGCAGCAGCCAGGCATGCACCGTACGCCGCACACCACGCACGACACACACTCCAATCCACGGCAGCAGGCACACACACACAGCCCTGCCGCAACACCAACACACAGATGGAAGAGGGAGAAGCAAACAGGAGCGGCACACAAGGCTCCACCGCATGTACATGCGGCGAGAGCGGTCCGTCGTGTCGGCACCCCTCACGGAGGGTGCGCACACACAAGAAGGTGCAGCGCACACAGCAACACAAAAGCAAAGTAACAATACAAAAAGGAGATCCCCGCACACCACGTGGATTGTTGGTCCACGGGAAGTGCAGCCAATATTCACCACAAGCAGTTCATTTGCAGTAGGCCTTCGTCCACATTCATCGTAGACCACTTCATGCAGGCACAGTCACCACAACTGCGGCCGTACACGTAACAACAACAAGAAGCAAAAGAGGGGAGGTGGTGTGGGAAACAGCATCGATGCTGTCACTGTCGCCAGGCGCCGCTGGGTTATTCGTTTTGTCTGTGGCTGTAGAAGATGTTGTTTCCTTCTCGCTGCCATCCTCTCGTTCATGTTGGTGTTCTCCCTCCTGCACAGCGGCATGAGATGCGGAACCACCGTTCAAAGTCTCCGCATTGCCCGCGTCAGCGTCATTGGCGGCAGCAGCAGCATCCGCAAGAGAAGATGGTGAAGTTGTCTCAGCCTGACCCTCAGTTAGTGCATTCTGCCTTGCATCCGCTGTTGGTTCGGTGCCTTTTCTGCAGATCTTCTGTTGGCTTCATGGTCGCTGGGACTTCCGTTGAGGATGGCAGTGCGCTGTGTGGTGGTGATTTCGGTGGCGGTTCTGATGGGCCTGCTGGCGCCTCTTATTCTGCTGCTTTTGGCGGCAATTCCTCCCATGCTTCTTTTTTCTTCCGGTGCCGCCTCCTCCTCTGCACCTCCTTGTGCCGGCGGTTTTGGCTGTCGCAGGGGCATTGGCCGTGCTTCTCCCTGTTCTGCTGCACCGGTCGTAAACGATCGATAATTTCCAGAGAGCGACTTTGAAGCAGACTCTGTGCCCGGATGCCCAGGGGAACGACTGGTGCTTGAGGCAGACAGTCATTCGGGTGCTTCAGCTGCAGGTGCGTGCTCTGCATTGTGCGCGCTGCCAGTCAAACATTACGGATTTCTTTTTGCTCCTTTCACCACATCCCCTGGTCCTCCTGAGCCCATTCTGGCACTCCCTGTACCACGGACACACTCTGTTCAGCGTCAGTCGCTGTTTGAAGCTGCGGTGTTTGCTCTTGACTGTCGCCGTTCGATGCGCCCCGTGTGAGACCCGAGCTGGGTGCAGCCGCATGCTCTGCTGAGTCCTCGGACGGCTGCGTCGCATGTGCTGTTTGTCCTTCTGCTGGCGCTGGTGCTGGAGATCTCCGTGCGCTCTCCCCCGTCCTGAGCACGTGTGGCCCTTCTCGTTCCTGTTGTGTCCACTCGCTCTGAATATTTGTAACTGACGCGCTGCCTTTCTTTCCATCCCTCTCTTCCACGGTGAGAGTTGCCGACCCCGCAGAAAATTGTGGCGGTTGGGAGCACACACTCGACATTGACGGCTCTTCGCCGCAGCATGCTGAGCCTGCCTCCTCCCTTTCTCCTGCCTCACTTCCACCAGCGGGAGGATCGTCTTGGACGCCGGAGACAACTGCGGGCTGCTGCTTGGGGCCAACACCACCACCAGCACCCGAGACAGGAGTACTGCTGGCAGCGTCTGTATCGGCAGCAGAAGATGGAGCCATTGGTGCAGCCCCACTGCCGCTGAGCTTCAGTCCCGCTCCCTGCATCACCGACCGGTGGTTGTCCTGAATCACTGTTGAGCGTTCCGCTTGCACCAACGCCGCCGTCCTCACCGGCCGGTACCGCCGCGGCTACTCCCCGTAAGGCGGCACTCGACACGCAGTCCCTCCTCGCAAACACCACTTCGCCATCCATTCCCCTCGCAAGCCCCGCGTCGTCCATTCCACCATCAGCACAGTAGCACACAGGCCACGCGTCACCACCACCGGCACCGCATCACAGCACGCAGAGGACACACACCAGCAGAACACGGCCAGTCATCATCATCGCCATCACTCCTGTCACTTGCGTGTAGCCTTCAGCACAAACTAACTCCCCGTCAATGCAGAGCAAAAACAAAGAGGAGAAACAAGCCAAGAACCGTCCCATCCAGCAATGAGAGTCACGCACCACAACAACAATTAGGTGGGCATGGTTCAACAACAATCAAAAAAAGAAGTGCTCCTCGCCCGTGCCCTGTTCCTCACACTCTCACAGTCATTGTTACTGTTATTCCCTCTCCTCAGGCCCTCACAGGCACGCCACGCCCACTTCAACACGCGCCCCTCCAGCACACGCAGTCCGTCATGCGCTCCCGCTGCGCCGCAAAATACGCCACCTCCTCCCAGTCGAACATCTCCGTGTCCTCCACGTCCCTCACAATCGTCGGCATGCCCCGGCCGCGCAACACCCACAGCGCCACAGTGTCGTGCCGCCTCTCCTCCCCAATCATGAACGCAACACCCTACGTGTGCAGGTGCACGTGCTCCATGCGCTGCAACCACAGGCCGATCAGGTTGGCTGTCATGAACTGCATCTTGTCGTCCTCCGTGTACTTGGAGCAGACCCTCACATTCTCTCAATCCACAGTCTGGGTGCTGCGAGAGGCTGCCGAGAGGCGCTACGTGTGTGGAAGAAGCAAATGTGGGGAAACAACGGCCACCCTCACTCCCTCACACATCTCCACTTCCCTCCACTGTCCCACACAAAAGGGCGGTGTCATGGGGAAGAGATGCCCGCCGCACAGCGCATGCACGAGGGCACACGCGGAAGAAATGCCATCCACTTCGCACCGCAAGATAGTGCCATGCGCTCAGCACACACACGGCGGCAACGAGAGCGACGGGGTGCATCCAGTTACATACCGCACAGCCATTTACTTCTCTCCGCACGGCTAGTGGCGTCCCACACTCACAGTGAGGCACGGCGCACACCATCTTCTCCCTCCGAGGGCACTCAGGAGGCCGGCGCCCAGTCACCCTCGTGCCATCGCAATGGGTAGCACAAACAACCGTCGTCGCAAACCATCGGCGCCTCTAGCAGAAATGAAGAAAAAGATATGAGGGCAGTTCAGAAACACAGCCAGCAGAGGGACACCCAACGACACACGGAGGCGCACAGTGACAGTGGACACGGCACGGACAAAAAGAAGTCCGCAGGGATTTTTTAAAAAAGAAAAAAGAATGAATCAGTAGGACTTCCATTTCGTGTGCCATGCAGCACAAGGCGATCACGTGCGTATAAATATTACCTGCACAAGTAAAAAATGCAATGAAAAAAGAAAAATCTTATTACTCCACCAGCCCACACAACATCCCTCACATTTCACGCGGCATCCGGCCGTTTCTTCCAATCCCCGTTCCTGCAGTCCGTGGGAAGCACAGCAGCGGAGCCGGCACCGCGTGTGGGCAACAAAAAAGAAACACACAAGAGAGAAAACACGTCGCCCATTCCAGTGCACATCAACCGAACATTAAATAATGAGAAGAAAAAAGGGCACTTATTACTCCAGTGGAAAAGCATCAAAAAGAACATTACAAAGAAGAAGAAAAAAGGCTTAAAAAGCGATCCGTAAATCATTAAAAAAGAGGAAAAGAAAAAGTGACATAAAAACCGCAAAGTATGCGGCAAATATCCCCCGTGGGGAGTCACAATTCCACCCTCTTTCGCTCGAAAGACTACCACAACTCCACACAGTTCCAGCAGCAGCAGCAGCAACGCCAGAGACACGCACACACGCGCAGTGCGGCCGCCAGTTGAATCGCGTGGTATCAACTCCACGTCGTCAAACAGGACGAGGCGGCCGTCTGGACTCACGCCGCTCCAGATCGCGCAAGGTCACATTTCTTGATGCCGTTTTGTTCTTCCGGGGACGTTCTGACCATTCATTCCTCCCGCAATTTTCCCAGGAACGTGCTCGCCGCTGCGGTCAACGGCCTCAGTCTTACGGGCATCCCTCGAGCCCACTGCCTTCCTCAACGCGGTGGCGAGCGCAGTCTTCGTCACGAATGCATTCGGATCCATTTCTATGTCCCGACTCATGGCAATGCTAGGCTTCCTCTTGGGTGGTGTTGGAGCCACGTTTTCTTTCGGATCGGTTGCAATGCGAAGCTTTTTCATAGACGTGTTTGTCGCCGTGTTGGATGCGGGACTCCGATCGACGGTGTTGGGTTCGTCAGCCGCCGCAGACCGTCGCCAATCCTCGTTTTGACGTGACGGCTCAGCATTCACTTGCGGCGCAGTTGTCCCACCAGATTTTGTGTCATCCTTCCCTTCACGGGGTGGCGGCAACTGACAGATGCCCGTCCGGTCAGCATCGCCGCTCCGTGCAGGCGGATGAATGGTTCCATCGGGGGAAAATTGGCGACACTAAAATTCATAAGGGCCGGCGTATTTGTGCGTCGTCACATTCGTCGTGAAGGCAACGGTGGCCCCTTCCTCTTCCGTTGCACAGCTGGCAGCACAGTTGCTACATGTGTGCACCGCATTGGCCACATGACACACAGCACCCAGCTCACCATTCCTGCTATGCATGCGCACATCAAAGCCACTGAAAGCATAATTCTCATGCTGAGCCTCAGCACCGGCAGAAGAACACTTCGTCCACGCCACACACTCCCATGCACGCGATAGCTCAGGCTGCCGTCACTCGGAGCACACGACACATCCACCGGCACAACCACCGCATCCGCATCACCAGATACATCTCCAGCACTCCCAGCAGCCGTCACGCACACGGAGCGAGCACCCACCACACCAGCCACCACCGCAAGCGAACCCTCATCCATCCATGACGTGGCACAAAAACCTACAGCCATCCTGCCTTCAACGGAATTTGGAGCCTAACTCAACGCAGTCACACGCAGTGCATCACACCCACAGGAAAGGAGACTCGGGCTGCGCACTCCCTCTCCTCCCTTCTCCTCGTGGCCACGGAAGACAACAGCCGCCACACGTAACTGTCAGCATACACCACAAAAGAAGCATCCAAATCCACCGCAATGTGCATCTTGTGTGTGTGGTTGTGTGTGCCTGCAGAAGCACAAAGCAAAGAAGTGGAAAAGAGGGGACAGAGTATGCGGAGAGACGCACAAAAATGTACAGCGGAGATGCATGGCGGAAACAATAGGAAAAAGACCGCTCAAACTCATGACTGCACTGCAGCCCAGGCAGCGGCAATTCACACAGGATTTATTTAAAACAAAAAACGTCCCCCTTCGTCTTATACAAACCCCACCACACAAAATAATTATAAATGAAAAGAAATCGTCCATTACTGTTCCACACAAATTTTAAAAAGCTTCCGGCAGCCGTGCGGCCACACCAAACTGTCTGCGTACATTTTGTCCGAAAAGAAAATTAAAAGATATTTAAATGTCTTTCAACCGTCCGACCTCCATGTGTCCGCACATCGTTTATATTTCATGGGGTCATCTGCGTGTTGCTGCTCCCCTCAGCCCTCCCATCGGCGCGTGAGTGCGGCCCGCAGAGCACAGTCACTCGTGTGTGTGGGGACTGAGAGAAGCACGCAGACACGACGGCAGTCGCGTCACTCCATCGGGAGAGTGAGCGCAGCAAAAGAAAAAATCATCGGAGGGAAAAGAAATGCTCACAAGACAGACCCCGAAGGCTCTGCCAGCGCGTGAAATGAACACGCAAAGCAAAAATAAAAAAAACACGGCGGCAGGGTGTGGCTGTGTGTGTGGCGCTGCGGGTGTCTGCCAGCCCTGGCCGCAAAGAAAACAAAACAAGAGGGAAGAAATGTGTGCTCCGCCCCACAGGCCCTCGTCGCACGCCCACACGTCACGGCTCCCTCAGCGCGCCGTTCGTCGCGGCCCCTCCTCATGCGTGCAGCAGGCGAGGCGCACAGGGCCGTCGTCATGAGCGTGTCGGTGGGTGTGCGAGTGGAGCAGTTGGGCGGAAACACACGGCACCCCTCACAGGAAGAGTGCAGAACAAACAATTAAAAGAGGGAAGAGTAGAAAAGAAAACACGTCCATAGAGATTGCCCCAAAAGCAAAAACAAAAAGCAAAGGAATGAGAGATTAGGAAAAAAAAAAGTAAAATCAACCAAAAAGAAGCAAACAGTAAAAGGATTTCAAAACACGCAAAAAAAGGATTTATGAGTGAAATTTGTTCCCATGGGAATAGTAATTCTGTGCTCGGAAGGTCGCAAGTTTCCCACGCGGCAGCCAGTCATCCCTCACAGAGTCGCAAACCCCCACAGTCCCAACAGAAGAAGCGATGGCAGCGATGGCAGCAGTCCACTCTCACGCACAGTACACGCATCAGTGTTATTCCCCTGCGACGAATTTCCCAGGCTGCTGTTGAGTGCCGCAGACTTTACTTCCCCGGCCTGTGGATGGATTCCCTCCTCTCCCTGCCCATCCGTTCCTCCTGCCGTCTCCCCATCCGCACCAGAGCTCGCGCTCACATCAGCTGTCAATGCGGGTCCATCGTGCCCCTCGCCTTTAGCGGTAAGAACGTTTGTATCTGCGGCGGCGGCGGTATTACCCACGGAAGGTGTGTGCGGTCCATCCCCCTGTATCGTATCTGCACTCCCCTCCCCCACCGTCGGGTTACCGCTAGACGAGAAAGCGACATCCACATCTGCATTTCCATCGGGAGGCTTTCCTGGCGCGAGTTGGTTCACAGATTGCCCACTTCCCGAGGAAGTCGTTGAAGCGGACACTGCTGATGGGGATGCACTTCCACCGGCAGCACCTTCACCTCCATTCAAAGGTTCCTGTCCCGCATGCGGTGTTCCACCAGAAGAAGGCAACACAATTTCCTGCGCATTTGTTTCCTTCGGAGGCGTAATCGGGGGTTTAATTGCATTAAGAGCAGTAATCTCATTGTCATCCAACGGGCGGTTGTACAGCAGGACGTTCCTCACAGTCACAGACACGCCTCCTTGGCCCTCTGTGTTGCTTCCGTCCCCTCCAATGTAGAAGTGGGAGATCCCTTTAGAATTCGTATTCTCCAATTTACATGGCTCACCCACACGCTTACCATCGACGTACGCGGAGCCCTGAGTGCCGTTCTGCAGCACAATGGCCACCTGCTGTGTTTTCTCTTGCCCCTCAATGTGGTTTTGCACCTCCGTCGGTTTCCCACCGCACAGCATCTGCCACTTTTTCTCTTTGTTGTTGTACGACAGTCCCAGGAGTACTGGATTCTCTGCATCACTCATCTTCACACCCATCACTGGAATAGGGCCCTCCTTCGTCGGCACACCGTCGATGGACACCGTCGCCACAAGAGTGAAGTTGTAGTTCGCAAAGCGGTACAGCTGATTCTCCCCCTGCTTGCCAACGGGCCACTCCGCCCACGCTCCCCGGAACTTCACTCCATCTGAAGACTCTGTTACTTTTGTTGTCTCACCAGTTACTGTGGCGTTCACTCCGAGGTACTCGTCCCTCCATGTTTTCTCAGAGAAGTTGCCGGACAAAAAGCCAACCAGCCCAGCCGTGATCTTAACATCGCTGCAGGCAGTGTAAGGTGAGGTAACCTTCTCAACAATTGAAGTGGCACACAGCTTGGAGACACGTTCGTCCACTTCTTTCCAGGTGGCCAGCACATCCTTCACCCGCTCCAGCTGCTCAGTCAGAAGCACAGAGACCATACCGGACGATGATTCTCCATCGCCCTTCTTCTCGTACAGTGCAATCAACTCCTCATTATTATCATCAGTTCCACTTCCAGTACTTTTGTACAACAGGGCGCTGGCAGCAGCGTCATCGTCCTTCCCGGATATCGGCCCAATATCAACAATGTGCGTATTGTCCGTCAGCCAAAGATGGAGTACGCCCTTTTCATTAACTTGTCCTTTCTGAGTATTCGTGGGATACACTGGCAGAGCAACAAGCATCACAGTTCTCTTCTTATCATCAATTGTCGCTGTGATGAACCCGCTTCCAACGGCCTTCGCTTCTCCGTCCTTTTTGTTGCCCCACACGCGCGAAAGTGTCCCGAGTGCCTCCGTCCACGACTCCCCCTTGTCACCGGACTCGTACACCCTGCGGCGGCCATCACCACACGCAGTCATCATCATGAGTTTGTCCTCCTCCCACTCCACGACGGAGGGAGCACTGCAGCCATCGGCAGACATCCCCTTCGACAGCACCCAACTCTTAGTATCCTTCGAGTATATGATAAGTGAGACGGTCTTCCCATCCTTTTCGTTGCCACCATCCTGGTTCTTCTTCTTCCTCGTCCCTTCCAATGGGAACACAATCGTACCGTCATTCATCTTAACGCCCGATCCGCCGCTGCCAATCAGCCGCAACAAAGATTCGTGTTGTTTGTCTTTATAATTCCACGGAATAAAGTAACTGTCATTCCAGTAAATTCTTTTTTCATTGCTACTTTCTTCGTTACTTACGTTACCTTTCACCAGCATAAGTCCCCAGTCAGTTGCACCACTAACCTGATCGCCAGCTTTAGGTGTCCAACTGTAATTTCCAGCAAGCATGTAAATAACACTTTCCTTCGCAACTGTTGTTGGTCGGCTCACATGTGAATTCTTCACTCCCTGAGAAACAGCCTGATCCGCTATACGGCAGGGGCGTTCGACTTGTTCGGACGGCCACTCCTCCAGTACTTGTGTCTTCAGTTTGGTTTTATCCAACTCCTCTTTTTGCTTTTCATTCAATTTTAGGAGCTCCGAGGCAATCCCAGTAAAACTACATCCTTCTTTCTTCTTGCACTGCGCTTCGGCAACGGCAAACACATCACCATTCACCTTAACAAGACTGGGAACATAGAGCGAATCCACTGTTTCTTCTTCTGTTTTCACATCCCTCCAACCAAAATGTTTTTCCGGTGAAGATTTCAGGGATGAAACCGCCTCTTTAGCAATCACAGCTCCACTGCCGCAGCACATCAACACGACGAGGAGGAGGAGCACCGCGGAAGTAAACGCACGCCGGGACATGTTGGGCCTCTGCCGCTCACTCTCTCTTCCTTCCTTCCTCCTTCCGCGGGATCCGGTCATGCGGCGACGGTTGTGTGTGCGGGGTGCCTTCACAGCAGCAACACGTGAGAGCATATAAATATGTGTGTGTGGGCGGTGTGTGTGTTGTTGGTTCTTTCAGTGCCTTCGAATTTCACAGTGGCGATTCGCGTTTGTTTCCTTCATGAGTAATTGAAAAGTGAAGAAAAACAAGCCAATAACAAAATGAAGCACAACAGTAAGCACTGTCACCCATCCACACTGTGAGCGGCACCATCATCCCCCCCGCAGTCACTCCCAACAACAACAACTCACGCACACAGACACACGGAAAGAAAAGGAAGAACAGTGCACCGGGAACACACAGCGACTGCCACCACCACCAGGAGGAGTCACGGCGGGTGTCTTATTCGTCACGCGTCAGCACACACCGAGCAACGCCCACACACAAAACAACCAGCGGAATGCAAAACGGCACAACCGTCCTTCGCAAAGTCCACACGCATTTACCAGTCATTTTACTTTTCACCCTTCCAGCGCACCCTCCAACGCACATCACCCGCACAGGCAAAGAATCCCTGACCAAAGTATACACAGCATGGGAGATACACATTGGCACGTGCAGCAGCTGGACAAGAAGCAATCCGCACTTGTCCCTGGCACCCTAAGCCACACCACCCAATCGACTGCACGCCAGCAACGTGTCAAAAAATAAATCGCAGGCTCCCGTACTCCTTCCTCGCAAGGGACGTCGCAGCCACAATCCTGTGCGTGCATCCATTCTCAGCAATCACACCACTCTACAGAGTATGCATAATGGCGTGTGTGTGTGCATGTGTTTTTGCCAGTGGATATACTTGCAAAGCAGCTGTGCGGCACAAGTGTTCAAAGAAGGCAATGGAAGAAAGAAACAGATAAAACACGCAAATTACTCATATCATCACACACGCACACGCAGCCGCGGAATGGGTGCACTCAACCACAAGATCAAAAAGAAAAACAAAAAAAAAGCCGAAGCGTGGGACGACCAGCGCACACACTCTCATTACTCCCGTAAAGCAAAACACACACACACAGAGAGAGAGAGAGGTCGCCCACTCAATGCAATAAAACAAAACAGAAACAGTTACGGTGCTCCGTCCATGCAGCCAGGCAGGACGGCAGCGGTGCGTGTCGTGCAAAAGAGAGCACCAACGGGCCTGCATGGGTGTGCATGCATATATACAATGGGCACATTATTGTGTGTGCCTCGTGGGGTGAGGTGAGGGCGAGAGTCCATGCAAGGGGACACATACACAGAGAGAGAAGGAAGAGTGTGTGTGCGGGCGGTGCATGGCTCTCTCTCCCTCACTCTCACGCGGCCACCACCGCAGCAGCAGCAGCCGCACACGTAACAACAAGAAGAAGAAGCAAAAGAGGGGAGGTGGTGTGGGAGACCGCGGTGCTGCTGTCACTGTTTTGTGTGTTCGTCGTATCAGTTGTGTTGGCGGTTACTGTCGTTGCTTTTGTATCTTCTCCAGTGCCTTCTGAGCCTTTGTCTCAGTGGCTTTGTGGTGTGGCCGCGGTCTCAGGCGACGGAACATTTTTTTCGTCTTCACTCGTGGTGCCTTCGCCATCCTGTTTGCGGGAATCAACACGTTCTTCTGGAGGTGATGATATAGGATTTCCTCCTGCAACTCCCGCATGCACTATGTTCTCTCCTTTAACTGTTGTGAGTGCGTTCTCTACTGTTGTTGTATTTTTGCCGGTGTCCTTCTTTCCTTCAACTTCCGGTTGCGTAGAATTGGCGTTTGATTCCTGACTGCCGAAATGAGAAATGCCTCCTGCAGATATAATTGACTGGCCTGTTTCCTGATCACTGCTACCAATTAAATTATTTTCCCTGGAATCTGAGTCTATTGCAACTGTTCCTTCTTGAACACTCTGGCTTTCAGTACTTTTTTTTTCCTCTTTTGTCTCCCCATCATCATCATTATCATCATCATCTTCCTCTATAACTACGGGAGTTAAATTTTCTTCTCCACCTGGTGCTCTACTTTGTGACCCTTGGGAATCTTGTGGAGAAGTTTCAAGTCCTTGTGATCCCAGCGGAAGTTCAGCACCACTCCCACGACCTGCTGTCTCCTCCTCGTCAGTACAGACAGCGCCGGCACCGCACCACAGCACGCAGAGGGCACACACCAGCAGCACACGACCAGTCATCATCGCCATCACTCCTGTCACTTGCGTGTAGCCTTCAGCACAAACTAAAAACCCGCCAACGCAGAGTGAAAGGAGAGACACGGCACAGTAAAAACCACCAGCGGCAGCAGCTTGCACATACCATGAGGCAGTTGGAATCAGTGAAAGAACAAAAATAAAATCAATACACACAGCTCCGAAATAATTGATCAGCAAGAAAAACACACAAAAAACAATTAGAAACAAAAAAACACTAAGCAAAGAGCAATAAAGTCAAAACAAGTAAAACCACAAAAAACAAACAGCTGCACCAAATGGATCCTGTGCGCATGCACTCACACACGGACATGCGTCCATGCAAACAGTTTTGGGCGTGCAGTGCATATAAGTGCGTCTGCGATGCGTTCAACATGACGGAAACGGGGAGCGGCTATACAGAGCACACAGCACGGCAGCAGAAGCAAATGAAGCAAAACAAGATCATTATTTCCTCTTATTTATTTACATAGGACCACAGTAGACGCGCACAATCCCCGCGGTTGAGTGCTGGCACGCACAGCCCGCACACACCTCTTCAGCCCAGAGTGGTGTACGCCAGCGCGGATGCGGCGAGCACCAGCGGGGCACACATCCACGCAGAGCTCCTGAGGCTGCCGTCCATTTCGCGAAGAAGTGACGGTGCGCGGGTGGTCGTCGTGGTTGGTGCCTCTGTAGTCGTAGTACTTGGTGTCTGTGTTGTAGTAGTGGTCGTTTTTTTATTGATGGTTGGTGCCTTTGTTGTAGTCGTACTGGTCATCGTGAAAGGATCTTCGTGTTTCTTCTCTGTATTGCGTGTGGATGTATTCTCGTCAGTTTCTGTCCCTGTCGTACCGTTCTTACCTTTTTTCTGCACCGTATCGGCCACCTCATCTGATTCTGGCAACTTATCGGTAGAACGTTGTCCCTCTCTGGTATTTGTTCCCTGTTCCGCTCCAGGCACCGTAACTGGCAACCCTGACGGAACGGATTCCTCACGTTGTAACTCTACTGCAGTGGCCAATTGATCGGCGCCTCCTCCACCAGCTTCATCAACATCCTCAGTAACGTCAGCGGATTCAGTATCAGTATCTGCCACTCACACCGATGGGCAGCAGCACAGGGCAAGCACCAACAGGGCGCACAGCAGACGGCACGTCATCATCATCGTGAGTGTGGTCGTTCAGTGGTGTGGAGCTGATCTGCACAGTGAGGGACATGGAGAGCAACAGGGGAGACGAGAGGTGCGGCAGACACACACAGAGGGCACACCACATGAGGAGAGGGCAGCAGCCAGGCATGCACCGTACGCCGCACACCACGCACAACACACACTCCAATCCACGGCAGCAGGCACACACACAACCCTGCCGCAACACCAACACACAGATGGAGGAGGGAGAAGCAAACAGGAGCGGCACACAAGGCTCCACCGCATGTACATGCGGCGAGAGCGGTCCGTCGTGTCGGCACCCCTCACGGAGGGTGCGCACACACACAAGAAGGTGCAGCGCACACAGCAACGCAACAGCATAGTAACAATAAAAAAGGAAATCCCCGCACACCACGCGGATTGTTGGTCCACGGGAGGTGCATCCAATATTCATCGCAAAGCAGCTTGTTATCTTGTTTTGGTTGTATGCTGCTACAATAACGAGTGAGTAGCGCAAGGGCCGTCCGTACAAAAGTGGCAAGTATTCCGTCGTGCGGGCTGGGGCAGTCACAAACAGTCGCAGTCCCAGTTCCCAACGGCAGGGCATTCCCGCAGTGGATGGGGCGGAGTCTCCCGTGGTCCGTCGGGGATCAGCAGCCCGTGGCGTCCGTGATGAGGCGGTGGCGGAAGAGCCTGGTCCATCTCGAGTTCCCGCGTTTGTGCCTCCTGCGTGTCTCGCCTGCTGGCATGCTTGGCAACTTCGGTGGCGACCTGCGCGCGAGGCACCTGTTAAAAAGACGGTGGCGCCATTGTGGCATCCGCATGGGAGGCCCTCGCAAACTATTATAACGCCAGGCTGAGCACGTCCGGCATGTGCCCTCATACTGTGGACGGACGAGCGCACTCTGCCGCAGGTTGGGCAGGAGGACGTCAATCCGCCGCTCGCTGGTCGACAAGGAGTTGCGGCGCTCACGTCGGGAAGAGGTTCCGGCGGAGGCAGAGGCGGGCCGGTCACCGCAGTCAGGGAGGGACGGCGCCACCGACACAGAGGGTTCCTTGTGATCCGCAGGGCGCGTGCAGGCCTGTCGAAGAGCGGGCAGGCGTCGCATCGCGCCTGTGCGCAGTGCCGCCACTCGGGGACCGATGTCCGGGTCAACACCAGGAATAGAGTCCTCGCCACACCGACAGGCGCCTGTCGCGCGGTGTGTGCGCCCTCCTTTTCCTCCTGGGCATCCTTCCATTATAACCTCTTGACGGCGGTGAGGAAGCCCACGTGCCAGGCATTGACGCAGTCCTGCGAGAGGGATCGTGCAATCGTGACTTCGTCCTCAGCGGCCTCACTGCGTGGAATACCGCAGTGTGAGGGGAAAATATAAAATCCACAGGGTGACCTCGCTTCACCAAGGAAAGCAGCATAATCCAAATTTACTCAGTGACGTCGTCGTGCAGCGCCAGCGGTCCAAGGCGGAGCGCCTCCATCTCCGAATGGAAGTCCGTGGCGAAAGGGACTCGCGTGGGCAATTGGGATGCTGCTGCCAGGCGGGGAACTGGGAAGTGTCCGAGGCCATGCTCAGTGACTGGACACTCCGCTCGGCAGGTGCGTGCAAGGCTGCCAGCTGCTGCACGATGTACCTCCACAGGGAGATCATTTGTCGTGGTGGAGTCATATAATAGCGCGGCGGATCCAGACGCACGCACAGCGAGAGACAACGAGCCGTCCATCGCCAACACAGTTTCCAGCGACTAA